GAGAAGGAGGATTAAAAAGCAATTAACTGGCTCTCATATTTCAAATGCAAAGCCATATTTTAGAACAGCAGACAGAAAAATATGGATCTCTCAGAAGTCAAAGATTTGTTATATTCCATAAAAAAAAGCCCTTACTGCGATACCTTAAAACAGCAATACCGTAGCAGGAACCTACCCCATGGGGACAAGAAAAAGCATTGCAAACCCAATCCAGCATTGTATTATGAGAAAGCCCTGCAAATTCCAGGCAATCTGCAAATGATTTCCCCCTTCCCCACCCAAACATCTACTGCAAACTCCTACAATTGCAAGTCAGGACTGCAATAGCAAGAGACGAAAACAAAACCATTCCTACCTTTAACTTGAGTGTCGTATTCAGCTATGATCTCCTTATCCTTTTTGAATTTTGCTGGCGACGTCATGTTTTCTTTTCCAAAAAGATTAACCTCAAAACAGATCCACCAGAGCACAAGATATAAATGCAATTTCGCTCCTCTCGATGCAATGCCTTGGTTTTCCGCTTGTCCTCCCCCACCACAAAAAGGAAAAAAAAAAAAAAAAAAAAAAAAATCAGTCCATGGAGAGAGGGTGTGAGACGGAGCACGGCAGCAGCAAAATGCAGATGTTGAGAGATCAGTGGATGGAAGAGGCAGCAGTTTTGTCTCCCTGCACCAAAACCTTTAGCAGCAGCATCAGACTAGCGAGATCCTGCAGCCCCCAAAGGCTCTTCCTGATTGCTAACGTTAATAGCACAGCCAGGGAGTAGAAGTCCTTCCGCACAACATGTTTTGTGTGGGCTTGGTTTGCCTTTTCTTTTCTTTTTTTTTTTTTTTTTTTTAAAATATGCTCAGAGATGATGCAAATCAAATCCCAAACGACAGCAGAAACGGAGGACAAGAAGCCGTTTTCTTTGCTTTGCTTGCCTGCAAATAAAAAAATATATATATATATATTTAGAAAATTACAGCTTGCAGCCAGCAGTCACAAGATGCTCAGCCAAAATCTGTAATTGAAAGAAAAGCCGCCCTGACATTGCAAAGTGTCCTTTAAGCAGCAGCAGGAGGTTAGAGATGCAGAGCGGCCAGGTAACCAAGGGAAAACGCCTACACGGCAGCCAGCCCCGAGGCGGGAGAAGGGGCTCGTTCGGAAAGCGGGGTCCCCGGGGGAGCGAGGGGAGGGAGGGGAACCA